CAAGCCAACCGCTCCAGAAATAAAATTAATATCCAGCAGATAAAATTGATGAAAATTTACATACTAAAGAAAAAGTACATTACTACATTCGGCTTAAAAAATAAAAGAATTCCGTTTTCTTACACCTAGATCTAGTACGAGGGTGTGGGTGTCCGGTGGGTGTGTGGGTATCGATGACGAGAGAACCCACACCAAATAGTAGGACTTGAGGACATACGAATACCCGCCCATAGTAGGACTTGAGGACCCAAGGATACCCTTCAATAATAGGACTTGAGGACCCAAGGGTACCCTCCCCTAGTAGGACTTGAGGACCCAAGGATACCTCTCAATAATAGGAGTTGAGAATCCAAGGATATCCCTCAAAAAAAGGACTTGAGGACCCAAGGGTACCCTCTAATAGTAGCACTTAACGACCCAAGGATATCCCTCAATAATAGAGCTTGAGGATCCAAGGGTACCCTCTAATAGTAGCACTTGAGGATCCAAGGATACCTCCCAATAATAGAAGTTGAGGACCCAAAGGTACCCCCAATAGTAGGACTTGAGGACCCAAGGGTACCCCCCATAATAGGACTTGAGGACCCAAGGGTACCATCCAATAGTAGGACTTGAGGACCCAAGGATACCACCCAATAATAGGACTTGAGGACCCAAGGATACCACCCAATAATAGGACTTGAGGACCCAAGGGTACCCCCCATAATAGGACTTGAGGACACAAGGGTACCTCCCTATAATAGAAGTTGATGACCCAAAGGTACCCCCAATAGTAGGACTTGAGGACCCAAGGATACCACCCAATAATAGGACTTGAGGACCCAAGGGTACCCTCCAATAGTAGGACTTGAGGACCCAAGGATACCACCCAATAATAGAAGTTGATGACCCAAGGGTACCCCCCATAATAGGACTTGAGGACCCAAGGGTACCCTCCAATAGTAGGAGTTGAGGATCCAAGGATACCACCCAATAATAGGACTTGAGGACCCAAGGGTACCCCCGATAATAGGACTTGAGGACCCAAGGGTACCCTCCAATAGTAGGACTTGAGGACCCAAGGGTACCCTCCAATAGTAGGACTTGAGGACCCAAGGATACCACCCAATAATAGGACTTGAGGACCCAAGGGTACCCCCCATAATAGGACTTGAGGACACAAGCGTACCTCCCTATAATAGAAGTTGATGACCCAAAGGTACCCCCAATAGTAGGACTTGAGGACCCAAGGATACCACCCAATAATAGGACTTGAGGACCCAAGGGTGGGTACCCTCCAATAGTAGGACTTGAGGACCCAAGGGTACCTCCCAATAATAGAAGTTGAGGACCCAAAGGTACCCCCAATAGTAGGACTTGAGGGCCCAAGGATACCTCTCAATAATAGGACTTGAGGACCCAAGGGTATCCCCGAATAGTAGCACTTGAGGACCCAAGGGTATCCTCCAATAATAGGAGTTGAGGACCCAAAGGTACCCTCCAATAGTAGGACTTGAGGACCCAAGGGTACCTCCCAATAATAGAAGTTGAGGACCCAAAGGTACCCCGAATAGTAGGACTTGAGGACCCAAGGGTACCCCCCATAATAGGACTTGAGGACCCAAGGGTACCCTCCAATAGTAGGAGTTGAGGATCCAAGGATACCACCCAATAATAGGACTTGAGGACCCAAGGGTACCCCCGATAATAGGACTTGAGGACCCAAGGGTACCCTCCAATAGTAGGACTTGAGGACCCAAGGGTACCCTCCAATAGTAGGACTTGAGGACCCAAGGATACCACCCAATAATAGGACTTGAGGACCCAAGGGTACCCCCCATAATAGGACTTGAGGACACAAGCGTACCTCCCTATAATAGAAGTTGATGACCCAAAGGTACCCCCAATAGTAGGACTTGAGGACCCAAGGATACCACCCAATAATAGGACTTGAGGACCCAAGGGTGGGTACCCTCCAATAGTAGGACTTGAGGACCCAAGGGTACCTCCCAATAATAGAAGTTGAGGACCCAAAGGTACCCCCAATAGTAGGACTTGAGGGCCCAAGGATACCTCTCAATAATAGGACTTGAGGACCCAAGGGTATCCCCGAATAGTAGCACTTGAGGACCCAAGGGTATCCTCCAATAATAGGAGTTGAGGACCCAAAGGTACCCTCCAATAGTAGGACTTGAGGACCCAAGGGTACCTCCCAATAATAGAAGTTGAGGACCCAAAGGTACCCCGAATAGTAGGACTTGAGGACCCAAGGGTACCCCCCATAATAGGACTTGAGGACCCAAGGGTACCCTCCAATAGTAGGACTTGAGGACCCAAGGGTACCCCCCATAAAAGGACTTGAGGACCCAAGGGTACCCTCCAATAGTAGGACTTGAGGACCCAAGGGTACCTCCCAATAATAGAAGTTAAGGTATCCCCGAATAGTAGCACTTGAGGACCCAAGGGTACCCTCCAATAATAGGAGTTGAGGACCCAAAGGTACCCCCAATAGTAGGAC